ATACCCTTTTTCTCAAAAACCCTTAAAGGGTTTATGCGGTTCTCCTAAACCCTTTAAGGGTTTAGGAAAATTTTCCGAATGTACTAGGGTTTCTTATTCTACGAATTTTTTTTACAGTGTAGATTAACTATAGTTACATATTTAGCTATTATTTTCTAGGAACATTTTCAGAAAGCCTTATTGTCGTTTTATAAATTCTATAAGCTTCAGACAGAATTATTTTATTTTGCACCAAAACAACCCGTGAAGGAACGAGACTAAAAACTTTTCAACAATAAAATTGTTCACTCACCATATGCTCGGCACTGCCATCTTTTATCAATTGAGAAGAGTCAATAACACTAAACGAGCCGTTTGGAAATCGAGATATATTTGATTTGTCATGAACCAAATGAATATATTGATCAACATTCAGATTGCTGCCGAGTAGATCTGCATTCGCGAAATCCACTTTTTCCAGTCTCGAATTATAGATTTTTGCGCGAGCAAGTATTGCTCCTGAGAAGTTAACACTTTGCATATTGTTTCCATCGAAAAGGGCTTCTGTCAGATTTACATTGGCAAACGTCGAGGAAAACAGATTTGATTTGATGAATTTCGCTGTAACCATTGAAGCTCCTTCAAAATGAGCATATCGCAAACGACAGTCGTCAAATGTTATATTTAAAGCTATGATTCCTGGTAGATATAAATTATCTAGTTGACACTTGACAATCGTCGATGCAGTCAATTCGATTCCAATGAGATCGCCTTGATTCATATTAACAATTTCGTCTATTGTGGCGCTATAACGACTAATCAGTTCATTTTTGTAGAGAAAGAGAATGATCTCACGTTTTCATTCGACATCAAGTTGTCGAAGAGCATTTAGTGTTTTGACTCTTATGTCTCGCAAACTGTTCACATTTGATCGATTAAAGTTGCAATAAAGAAGTAATTTAGAAATATCAGCGATAAAAGAATCGTAGACAGTCTGTTTTCTTAACTCATCGGCTTGCGCTTGATCGGGTGCGTCCCTTTTCGTCCTCACTCTTTCGGACATCAGGTTATTTGACCGGATGTTCGAAATCGGATATAAAAAATAAAATCGATTTTCCCGATGTTCGGAATGAAAACCGTCCAGATGTTCGGAACGAAAAAATACAAGATGTTCGGAACATAAAGTGACAGATGTTCGGAATAAAAAATGACCGACGTTCGGAACGAAAACCTACAGGATGTTCGGAACATAAAGTAACAGATGTTCGAAACAAAAAATGACCGATGTTCGGAACAAAAAGATACTGAATGTTGGAAATGAATTTTGGTGTATGTTTTA